GAGGCCCCAAAACTGCCCCCAAAGGGTCTCCAAAGTGTGGGCGGTACCATTTGAGGCATACGGACGACGCACCTCGCGTGGTACTTGGTCGGTACCACTTGAGGTCTCCGAGAGACCGACCACGAGATCCCAAAGCACACTCCAAAGGCCTCTGACTCACAACCCAGGCGCGGTGGCGGGATTGGCGGGACGGGCCTCAGGCCATTCGAGAAAAATCCCTCTCAGGATCCACGACAAGATCCTCACTTGTCCTCGTCGTCTTCTTCCTCCTCCCCCTCCTCCTCCTCCTCCTCCTCCTTCTCCTCCTCCTCCTTCTCCTCCCCCGTCGTCTCCCCCTCCTGCTTTGTTCCTCCCTACTGTCCACAGCATTCGCGCGCTGCCAGACGCGCTGCAGCGCCTTCGTGGAAGCCCCCCAGAACCTCCGAATCGGCCCCCAAGTGCTTCAAAACTGCATTCCAGGGGCCCCCGAGAGGCGTGCCGCGAGATCCCTATACACATACTTGAAGCCTCTAACCCATAACCCATGACCCAGAACCTTGTCTCCGTGTCCCCCTCCTCCTCCTCCCCGGCTTCTCCATCCCCATACACATACCACAAACCTCTACCCCACAACCCATAACCGAGAGCCTCATCTCAGTGCCCCCTCCCCTCCTCTTCCTCCTCCCCCACCTCCTCGTCGTCCCTCCTCCTCTTCCTGCCCCGCTTCACCTCACCCTCTTGCGATGCTTCTCCCCCCCATTTTCCGCCTCACCCCCCATCCTTCTCTCCCCGTCCTCCTTTTTCTCCCAAGCACGCGCGCCCGATTGGGCATCATTTGCACGTCTTGCACTTCAGGGTGCCCTTCTGTGCGTCGCGCGGGACATTGTGCGGATCGGGGAACGCCGACTTCGGTAGTCTTCTCTTGCATGCGCCGCTGCACTGATACGCCTGGCAACTGCGCGCGGTGAACCCGGGTTTTGTGCAGTCTCCGCACACGACTTTGCGTTGTGTCGCCTTTCGATGATTTTCCTTTTGTGTTTGCCTCAAATGTTTCGTGTCTGAGAACGCTCCTCCGCACGCCGCGCACGTCAGCGGCTTCGCGTCCGCCTCGGCTTTCCGTTTCCTATTATTCGACTCGAGCGTCGTCCTCTCACGTTATTCCGCGCACCTCTGACACAGCCTCTCCCCCGCTGCTTTGTGCTTCTTCTGTGCATCGGACATATCCGCCTCCTCTGGGAAAAGCGACAGACATTTCTCGTTCGAACAACGCACCGCGCGTTTCCTGTTATTCGACTCGCGCGTCGTCCTCTCCCGTTCTTCCGCGCACCTTTGACACAGCCTCTCCCCTGCTGCCTTGTGCTTCTTCTGAGCTACCAATATTTCCGCCTCCTCTGGCAATAGCGACGGACAGCCGTCATTCGAACAACGCACTTTGCCGGCACTCTCAGCCCACTTCGCGTTGGCACGGCGCGTTTGGCTCAAGTAACCGTTTTGGCTCAAGTATCCTTCCGTAGTTATTGGCTCCAGCCAGCAGCATCCATCGCGAAATAACTGTATCACTGGCCTGCGGACGACCGGCAGTACAGCATGGGTGGAGATGGAAAGAAGAAAGCTGCGGATGCCACGGGTTCGACACCAAATAAATAAAAAGCTGAAGTCTGATGAAGGGATGGAGGAGGATGAAGCAGTAATGGAGGTAGGGGGGGAGGAGGAGATGGACGCGAAGAGCTTGATGGTCAAGATGATGCGCATGATGAAGAGCATGAGTAAGGACATGAAGGATGCGAGGAAGGATTCGGAGGAAGCGAAGGCAATCGCGCTTCAAGCGAAGCTTGCAGCACAGATGGCCGAACAGGCGGTTGAGGGCGTGAAGACCACAGTCAAGCAGACGAGTGACGAGATGAAGGCTATCAAGAAGGACGTGGAGCAGATGAAGGTTGGTCCAGGCATGTTTGCCAAGGCCGGCATCACGAGGATCGCGGAGGCCACGCAGAGCATCGTGAGGGACCTCCGGGAGCTGCAGGTGATCGCCACGGGCTTGAAGGACCCAGAGGACGAGGAGGAGGTCATTAAGCAGGTCAAGGACATGGTGGATGGATTGGGAATGGGAAACAAATACACAAGCATCGGTGTCTTCACAGACCCCTCAAAGATCGGCGTGGTGAATTTCAAGTCGATTGCATCAAAAATCGGGTTTCTGAAGAAAGCCAATATATCATCAACACAGTGGGGGAATGGGGAAACGATGCGTTTCAAAGCCAATGACACCATCGAAAAAAGAACGGTGGACAAGGAGCTTGGGATGATCAAGTGCTACCTGCATGAGAAGCACGACCACGCACTCGAGGACATTGTGATCAAGTGGCACGCCCGGGTCGTGGAGCTCAAGGGGGTGAAAGTGGCTTGGGAGGAGGATGCGAAAGGGATTGTGTATGGAGGGGCAGGGCTTGCTGTCAAAGCGTCCGTCACAGGCTACATGAAAGCGTGGCGTGAGAAGAGGAATTTGGACGATGATCTTTGATATGACCACGGTGGGTGCGGGGAGGGAAACGTGAACAACAGTAGCAATGCTGGAGATTCGCGAGGCGGGGGGAGAGGAAAGTACGATAATGTATATGGTGACTTTCCTCTGGCAACGCTGCGCGGCGTAAAGACGCAGCAACTGGACAGCAAAAGTGGCGTGGACGATAATGATTCTTTCTTGCACATATTTCACATGAATGTTCGCAGTCTCGTGTCCGAGCACCGGGTCACGGAGCTGCTCGAAGATCTATCGGCGATTGAATGGGATTTCGTTTGTATCAACGAGACGTGGCGCATAGAGCAGCGTGAATATTTTATTCTCCCTGGCGGGCATGCGTTTGCCGGGTGTGGGTGGGCAGAGGGGTCCCGAGGAGTGGCATTCCTTATCAACCGCAGATGGGTGCAGCACGTTCGCTCCTTTGTTCGTATTTCGGAAAGGGCTGGGTTCATTGATGTGGTCTGCGGCGCGCTGAAAATCAGATTGGTGTCAGCCAATTTTCCCCATTCTGGTTACGGGGACTGCCACATTCAGCAAATATATGATGCATTATCTGAGGCGCACAAAGAGGCGAGGAGCAAGCGCTTGTATTTTATTGTGGCTGGAGATTTTAATGCCGAAATTGGCTACTGGGCAGAGGGGGACGTCTGCAAAGCTATTGGGCCATACGGGATTCAGAAGTCGAGCGCCCGTGGTCAATCGCTCAAAAGCTGGGCGTGTGCGGAACATTTGAGCATCACAAATACATTGTTTTCAAAACGGCCACAGTACAGGATTACTCACACAGGGACCAGCGGTTCGCAACGGCAAATCGATTACATACTTGTGGACTTTCGATTGTTTTCACACGTACTGGACTCATGCATCGACCTTGCACTAGACTTGGGCAGTGATCACAAAGCAGTGCACTTGAAATTGCGCGTTGTTGACAGGCCTTCGAGGAGGAAGAAGAAATCTGCCAAGAAGCGTCAGACAGTCGATTGGTCCTGCGTGTGCGAGGAAGCATATGTGCAGACGCTCGAAATCGGTGCCGACGCTGTCAGCTTGTCCCCGGACCCTGGCGAGGCGTGTCGGCAAATCGAAACTCTCCTGGTCGAGTCTGCTGTGAATGCCCAGGTCAATCGGGATCTTGCGCGGAGGACAACGATGACGACGCGAAGCTGCGTCGGTTGATTGCCCAAAGAAAGAGATTACATCATTCGTGCGCGACGGACAGAGCTACAATCAGTAAACAAATCAACAAAGAAATCCGGGCACTCAGGCGAGCCAGGGCGTCGGACAGAATCGATTCAATCGTGAGTTCTTTCACAGGCTTGAAGCAGATCACCAAGCTGAAAACACACAAGAAGAAACGCTTGATCACCAAATATGAGCGACGACAACGGGGGTTTGCACGAAGACAGACAGTCAATTGCTGATGTATTCGCAGATTTTTATGCAAAGCTGTATCACTCAAGTACTGAAGGCTTTGCCGGCGCGGTGGCCACAGACGCGCCCGGTGGCGATATGCCTGCATTCACTGTTGACGAGCTACGCACGGGCATCAAGAGCTTGAAAGGTGACAAATGCTGTGATGCCAACGGTGTTCTTGCAGAGATGATAAAGCGCGGAGGGGAAGCAACGGAGAAATTGCTGCTGCAGCTTTTCAACGCAATCGTATCAGAAGACAGACCGCAAGGGCTTGGAAGGAACCTATTGTCAGCGTGATTTTTAAAAGTGGTGATCCGTCCTTGGCCAAAAATTACAGGCCAATCACGATTATACCGTTATTATACAAACTCTTTGCACAATTATTATATGCTAGACTCTATCCTGTTGTCGACCAACACGAAAATATCGATCAGGCGGGTTTCCGGCAGAATGTCAGCACGACTCGTCATCTTTTCGCTGTCACGCTGCTCCAGGAGAAATGCCACGAATGGCAGCAGAATCTGTGGGTGGCCGCAAGTGATTTCAAGAAAGCCTTCGACTGCGTGGAGCACGAAGGTCTATGGCAAGCGCTGTCCAAGCAGGGAGTTCCTGGAGGTTACGTACGCTTGTTGCGGACGTTGTATACCGATCAGACGGCCCAGGTTCGCACGGATAAATTGAGTAAGCCATATCACATTTTGCGTGGGACGAAGCAGGGCGACCCCCTCAGCACGCTCTTGTTCAATGCTGTTTTAGAAGACGTGTTCCGGGACGTAAAGGATGCGTGGGTGAAAAAGAAGTGGGGCTTGCCGCTGGGGGCGACGCCTGAGTGGAGGCTGACAAACTTGCGCTGCGCGGACGATGTTATGCTTATCTCGGCCACACTTCGCCAAATCAGACTGATGCTGTCGGATTTGCGCTCGGCGGCATTACGGCGCGGGCTGGAGATCCACCCGGAGAAGACAAAAATCCTCAGCAACACAACTCGGGGAAGTGGCCGGCCGAAACAAGCATCTGTTCAAGTTGGGGGCATGGTAAAAGATATTGTGCCGTATGAGAGTTCAGTGAAGCATTTGGGAAGGCAGGTCTGCTTCGACCGCCCGCACGACGTAGAGATTGACTATAGAATCAAGATGGCATGGAAGCGCTTTATGAGCCAACGGGCAGAGCTAACAAACAAAAGGTACTCTCTGAATTCACGGCTCCGCCTCTTCGACAGCACGGCGTCTGCAACGCTGCTGCACGGAAGCGCGGCCTGGGTGCTTACAAAAGAATTGGAATATAAGTTGAATCGGACGCAGCGCAAAATGATCAGGATGATTATCGGCAGCCAGCGGCGCGTGCAGAGGCATGCTCTGCCGCGGGGCCCAGTGACCAAGCATGGTTGTATTTCTTGTTCTTCTTCGTCGACTTCTTCGCGGTCCTTTGCAAAGCCCGGGGGAACTGTCCCGGTCGAACCAGATAACGAGCTGGAGCCTTGGGTTGACTGGATCAAGCGTGCGACACGAGAAGCAGATGACCGAGCACAGCAGCTTCGCTTGCATGACTGGGTCAATTCACACAGGGATGCTGCAAAGGCGTGGCTCGGCCGCATGCGCGGGGACGAGCAGTCAAGGGCGCGCCGCGTATACACGTGGGAGCCCGTGGACCTGGTCAGGCGCCCAAGCGGGCCCCGGAAGCGCTGGTTGGACACGCACATCTGAGGGGCTGAGGCCCCGCGCGCCTCCCTTCACGGGACGGGCCGAAGGTGCGCGCTTCTTCTTCTTCTTCTTCTTCACATAGCTGCATTTGACACAGTACATGGTCCGAACTTTTTTGGCGTCGTCCCCATCGCGAACCCTCGCCGCGCCCTGGACGTCGCCCCTCCGTGCGCTTTCGTCGCCGTGCGTCTTCGTCGCCCACGTGTCACACGTTTTGCACCATTTCTCGTCCAGGCTCTTCATCTCTTCCGTACACTCTTTACAGAAGGCTGGTCTCTCCTTCCGCTGGAACTCGTACTTCGTGAACGCCTGCATTAGCAGCCGACGTCGGCACCGCCCGCACTGATCGCGCGGCATCAGCTTCGCCTCCCGCCCCTCCCAATCCACAGTGTCGCCGCGTAGCACCTGCAACGGCTTCTGCGCGCCAGGCATCTCCCCCTCGATGTACGGCTTCCTGTCGAAAGGCCTGAAGATGAGTAAATTCTCCCGTCTCCTCACCCGGGTAATCACCGCGTAACTGGACATCCAACTTACGCCGCGCCCTCTTTCCAGATCCGCTATCACTGCGCCCAACGTCCGCCCTTGCGCGGCGTGCGCTGTGATTGCTAACGCTGGCGTAATCACGAACTGCGTGCCATTCACCCCCAACGCCGGGTGCTTTCGATACCCGTCCAAGAACCACCGGCACCCCTTCGATGGAAAAATTGGATACAGTCCCGGCTCCCACCCGGGCAAGTGCCATTTCTTCGTGTGGAAGTCCAACACTATGACTCTTGGCAAGTGCGACAACACTTCTTCTGCTTCGTCTCCCACGACTTCGCCCTCTTGCAAGACCCACCCATGAATCGTCGCGTGGCTTCCCCGCAGCAGCTGCTTCTTCGACCTGTCCAAGTGATCTCCTAAGGCCACGGGCGCCCCCTTCGCCAACGGCAGCCACCCCAGCAAGCTCGCGCGCTCCTTTTCGTGAAAACCTAGCCACCGTATCTTGTCCTCCACGGTGCACGGGCGTCTCTGCCCCCCCCCCCCCATGGCACGGGCGATCTCTCGCCGCGACCCATCGCAGTTGCTCTCCGTGTTCTTTCGCCCACTGCACAGCTCTTTGTTTCCCGACGTGGCACCGAATGTACTGATTGGCATAGATCGCCACGCCTTCCACGAATTTCTCTTCCCGAAATCGCGGGTCTTCCGGCGACGTCGCCACGAGCTTCCTCTTCCCACGCTCCACTTTGCACACCGCGCATTCCAGTTCATTGTCTCTGCCAATTTCCTCTGCTTTAACTCGACACTGCGAATGTCCGCATTGCGGCGCGCCGTTCACCCACGATCCTGGCACGTCCGTCGGCCGTCCGTGCAAGAAAGTGCGCGTTCTCTCCGTCAATTCGCCTCGACGAAACTCGTCGTGCACCCCGAGGAACCAGGTGTCTGGCTCCTCCACACGCTTGCACTCTGTCAGCTCTGTCATTCCTTGCACTGCCCCTGCGCCTCCCCTTCCCCAGAAGATATGCTGACCGTGGTCCTCCGTGGCACCTGGCGCGTACGTTCTTGCTTTTTTTTTTTTTCCAGATACGATGTGGGCAGCGAATTGATGGCCGTTCCCGAGAGAGGCTCTAACAGGTAAAAGTCTCCGCAGAACAACACGTTGATGCCCCCGAACGGCCTGCCCACACCGTCTGTCCCTACTTTCGTGTCACTTGCAGCTGACATGCACGTCCGCAGATGCGAATCGAGTTCCGCGATGGAGTTTGCGCGCGCCATGCTCACCTCGTCCACAATCAGCCACTTCCACTGTGACATACGCTGCGCCGCTTGCTCTTTCTTCGTTTTCTTCTTCGTCTCTGCGTTGCCATTGCCCGCCGCGTCCTTCTCCATCGTTTTGTTCACACCGAGCCC